GGGGGGGTGGGATGTGGGAGAAAGACATATAGTAGAGGGGATAGTTCAATTGTATTGGGTTGGGCTTGCGTATGCTTTATATGTATTTTACCCTGTGTGCATGATATAACTGCAAATAAATCCATCTCTATTTTATTCGTAGTTCTAATGGCAAGTCTGTGTCATGGTCTGAACCAGGTGGAAGACAAGTGTCCAAAGGACAGCACATGTGGCACCGCCTCTCTGTGCACGTGAAGACCAGTGAGACGGCCTGCAACCAAACGGCCGTCATCAAGCCCCTCACTAAAAGTTACCAAGGCTCCGGCAAGAGCCTGACCTTTTCAGATACCAGCACCAAGACCCTTTACAACGTGGAGGAGGAGGATGCCCAGCCGGTTCGCTTTAGCCCTCCCAGCAGCCCTTCCATGGTGGTGCACCGACGCGTGCCACCGGCAGTGACCACCCCTCCTCTGCTGCCCCACCTGACTGCAGAGGAGACCCCCCTCTTCCTGGCAGACCCGGTCATCCCCAAGGGGTTGCCCCCTCCCTTCCAGCAGCAGCAACTTCAGCAGCAACCGCAACAGCAGAAATCTCTGATAGATCAGCTGCAGGGCGTCGTCAACAACTTCAACACTGGGATCCCCGACTTCAGCGCAGTGCTCGCTGTCCCCGGGGGCCTGGGCAATGGAGTGCGGTCCCTGTACCCACCCCCGCCGCCCCCGCAGCACCTGCAAATGCTCCCACTGCAGCTGAGCACCTTCGGGGAAGAGCTCATCTCCCCCCGAGCAGAGGACGAGGACGACAGCGAGCAGTTTAAGCTCCTTCAGGAGTACGTGTACGAGCGGGAGGGAAACACTGAGGAAGATGAGCTGGAAGAGGAAGGGGAGGACCTGCCTGCAGCCAGCAACCTGACCCCAGAGGACTCGCCTGCCCTGACGCCCCCATCGCCTTTCCGAGACTCGGTGGCCTCAGGTAGCTCGGTGCCCAGCTCCCCCGTGTCCGAGTCGGTGCTCTGCACCCCTCCGAACGTGACCTACGCCTCTGTCATTCTGAGGGACTATAAGCAAAGCTCTTCCACTCTGTAGTAAGGAGGTGTCCACGTAGAAAAGCAAGCTAAGTCAGGAAGCCCGGTCTCCAGAGATGTGCGAAAAGCTGGGAGGAGAAGCACGGGAAGGAGAGGGCAAAGTGAACAGGAAGGGAAGAGAACGCTGCTGCTGCTGCCTGAAGCAAGGAGAGAGGGAGCGATGCAGTACTCTGCAAGCAAAAAATAAATAAATAGATAAACGATCCAGGCAAGGGTTCTGATTTTTCAATTATTCAAAAGCCTTCTCTGGGAAGAAGGGGAATTCTGACAAAGCACAATCCCATATGGTATGTAACTTTTATGGCAAAAAATAAAATCACAACAACCAAAATCTTCTCCTTGCATAACTGTGCGCAGATATAACACGCCCACACTCACTTGGCCAAGCTTGACAAGAGACAACTGTGGAGGTGCCATTTGAATCATTAGTTCACCTGATGGTGTTCATGTATTCATACTGAGCATGGTGGAGCCAGAGCTGGTGGGTGAAGGGGGAGCAGGTATGGAACCACCGAGTGAACACAGGATGGGACAGTGACTCATTTCTCTCGAGCCTTCTCCCACTTATCCTCACCTACCACACCCGATCCCGTGCCAGCCTTGTTGTAACACTTGGAAAAAGGTGCATGAACATCCTGTTGCTCTGGAATTTCTCTCTATTTAGGAAAACTGGAATAAGAGCAAAGATAATCACCAACAAGTGCTTCATCAGGAGTGCTAAGAGAGGGAGGAGTGAGAAGCAAGACAATAGGTAAGCACCAGGCTTTGAAAAAAATCAGTCAGCACAATTAGCTTCCCATATATGATACTCCCTTGTTGGTGGTTTTGAAAAAGACCAGAATAAGAGATTGTTTAGAGAGTGGCAGAAGGAAGAACTTTTGTGGATTCACTTGTGTTTGTGCCAAGGGACTTTCCATTGCCCTTCAGTTAAAGAGAGCAAACCATGTGACAAAATAGTTACCTTCCATTTATTGTAGCAAATAATACACCAGTTGAACTTCTAAGATGCAGTATATGTACAATGTGGTGCCAGAAACAAATCCATCTTTGAACCTAATGGTGTACTCATAGCAACTATTACTAGTTTAAATGACAAACGATTCTTTCCTATCATCGCTGAAGTCCCTGTAATACTAAAGTAGCGGGTGAATGTGTTCCTGTGTCCTTGTACACCTGTGACTATAAAATTTGTGCAATGTAGTGTCAATCTAACTGCAACTAGAAGATTGTCTTTCAGGTATGGCTATTTGTATGTTCAAATAATGTTTTATATATCATTGTCACCAATATCTACAGAAGCTTTTTGAAGGTTTGATTGGTACGGTCCAGAGTTTTTCATATGCAGCTCAGATGGTCCTTCCTCGTCTAAGAGGGAATGTATTTTTCAGATATTTTATGATATGTGAACATGTTATTAATAAAATGGCTTGAAATTTGTTATATTAAAAGTTCAAAAAAACTGTGGGTAACAATAAAAACGTACATTTTATAAACTTGCACACATCATTATTAAATTGTATGATTGAAAAGACAATATTTAGATTACTTCAGGTTACTTTCGTTTTTTAAACGTTTTCCACAGCTATGTGTGATTTATGTGCGTAAAGCATATACTAACATCAAAGTCTGGTCAGAATTTCTCAAATGTTTATTCATCCATCACTTTTTGCTTTCTTTTAGTTTTTATTTCTGTGTACTTTTATGCCTGTATTTTCACATCATAACTTTTCTTCATGTTTTTGGTATTTGCTGTAGTGTAATATCCGTGTCCATGGTAATCCACTTGTTCCATTTTTATCTTCCCTGTTTACCCTCAATAAAAGAGATTCTTCTTGCTATTTAGATTTCTACTATTGTTTGTGGAATGCATCTTATCCCCTTAAGTTTCTTTGTTGATGCCTTATGTTCAGTCATATTTTTAATATGCTTCCTTCATGTTGAAGCCACTGATTTCTCAGCCAAAAACCATCTTGCAATCTTTCAATATCCACTGCATTCTTTGTCTAAAATTCAAAATCAATCCAGTGCTTGCGGCTCATGTCTCTTCTGTCTTACCGTATACTATTGCCAAGTTCAGTCAGTCCCATGTCAAGAATGAACCTCCTTTCCTTTAAAAAGTCATTTTAGAACACCTTTGGTGAAAAGTAAGACCTCATGATTGAAAAGTGGATTTCACTTCCACATTCCTTTTGTAATGAAGCTGACTGAGAAAAATGAGTGATTCCAATGCTGACTAGATCGATTTCCACTAACTGGAAAACTAACGAGGGCAAGGATGGAATCGATTATTAGTGAAAAATGTTTTTTATCTTAATGCCACTAACATATGCCCTTGATATTACAGGACTTGTGCTTTTGCCTTTTTTAAAATAAAAATAGATAAACAACTTCTACGATTCGAATATATGTCAGTTTTTTTCTGAGGTTTTGGTCTAAGACATTTGGTGAACACATTAAGCACTAAACATGTTATTACTGGAAATGCCTACTATTACTGTGGATATGAGTTTTCTTAAATGCAATAGAGTATTAGCTCTTCTATCACAATTGTTCAAAAATGAAAATGTACACACACACCATATACCAAAAGGGCAGAAACTCTTTACCCAAGTATATGTGCTTGTTCAAGTTGTTGAGCTTCTTGTAAAAGTATTTTATTTTGGCTCTTTATTGCCTTTTGTCAAATAATCTTGATGATGCTGTATAATAAATATTTTCTACTTATTAAATGTGTGTATTCCTTCTCTATATTTTGTAAAAGTTATAATAATAGAAATAAGCTGTTATCAGAAATTATGCCAATAGTTTCATTTTGCTCGGAACATCTCTTCTAGGTGAAGTTTGGAGGTGAAGTTTGGAAAGAACATCTCTAGGTGAAAGTAGGTGCCACAGATCAGATAGATGGCACTGAAAGTGGAGTGAAGTTTGACTATGAGAAGGGTTATATCTCAAGCTATAACAGTTTTAAACGAAATCCAGAATTTAAAGTTGCAATGTCCATGGAAGACATTGCCATTCATCTTTTTGATGGAGTGTGTGGGGCTTGACAAACTCCTGGATCTCCAGGAGAGCTCTAGAGACAGAGGCATCTAAGAGCCCCCCATCTTTGTTTCATGTATGCCCTGCAAGGCTTGCTGCCTTTTGTTCACATTTTAGGGGGACCTGGTTTCTTTCTTTGTCAATGTTCTCCTGTTCACCCCAAGTTCCATCCCCTACATTTCACTGAAAACGTCACTGTTTCCAGAAATAAGGGACTCTCTGCTATTCACATTTCTCTGCCATGATATTCCTTCAAAGTAAGACATCTGCCAAGAATCTCTACGAGACAGAACATGGTGGTACATGGAGTTATCCACAACATCACAAAGGGTTTAGATGGCAGAAGGCGGGGCAGGGGGGTGGGGTGGCTGGGACACCGGAGATTTCTTCAGTGTGCCCAGAAAATAGACTAAAATGGGAGCTTAGTGTCTCAGGAGGAAAACTGATAGGAGAAAGAATGAGAAACAAAAATTGGAAGAAACAAAACAAAATATAAATGAAGGAAAACGATAGAGAAGAAAAAGGAAAATGAAGTGTGGAGTTCAGAGATACACCCATGGCACTAGGTTATCATGGCAGGTTATATGGCCTCTACTTCGTGAGAGCCTAGAAGTCTTACCTGGACCATAAAGAAGACATTTGGAGAGGTGGGGATTGGGATCCAGAGACCACAAATGATGTATGAGTAGCTACTGCTTAACTTCTACAGAGAATACTATGAAAAGGAATCAAAAAGGAAGGGAAGCAACGCTTTTTATGAACCTACTCTACACCAGACATTGCACTAGGTTCTTTGCATTCATTCTTATTTAATCCTCCCAGTATGAATGCCACATAGATATTTTAGAGAACTGAAATAACTTACCCAAAGTATCTTAGCTAGGAAGTAGGCTAGCAGGAATTCATTCAATCCCCAACCTAAGCCAGTACAGAGCTGTGAGTTCATGTTCCTCCCCAGAGCCAAGGAAGATATGTAGGAGCTGCTCTGTTAAGACTCTTCCCTCATTCATATTCCCATGAATTTTATTCACTTCCACCACTACGTTATAGTTCATATGTCTCTTTCCCTCTACAGATCGTAAATTCCTTTTAGCTTGGGATCAATTTTTTTTTTTTTTTTGCCTTTCTAATTTCTGAGCCCTCCAGACAAACCAGGGACTCAGTAAATGTTGAGAAAATAAACGAGTATTCCAACATCGTATGATTTTCCCAGCCTAATTCCCTGAAGAATTATTCCAAGCTTCCTGTGTGGGGCAGCGCTCTCTATCTCCACCTACTGACCCCGGCTCGGCCTGCTGTAACAACGCATGCTTTAATGTGAACAGCAAGCTCACCTTTTGGCATTAGAAAGAGCTGTCACACTAGGCAGCAGGTCCAGTTTTCCTGCACAAGAGTGTGACAATATTCATGTCTACTGAGCAGGTGCAGAACGTCTGGCCAGGCAGTGCACAGTGTGGGGGAACAGCGTCCTCTTCAGGAGAATTGCAGGTAAGACACAGAATCTGCTGAAGTGGGTCATGAGCTTATCTGGGAGCACCATCCATCACTGACGGGGGAGGCAGGGCTGGGAGTTCCTTACCGAAGTGCATGTCTTCAGACAAAGCGAAAGGCAAACCCAGTTACCAACGGGAGGGGACATGGGAGAGAGGAAGTGCCCAGTTACAGAGGTGAACCCAGGACAGTATAAACTGGAAATTGTGTTGATTCTCTCAGTGCAACCTGGGAAGTAAAGCTATCAATTAATAAACAAAAGGAAAGAAGATTAAGAGTAAAGATAACAAAAACTGAAAAGGAAAATAATCATAGAATCTTAGAGTTGGAAGGAAACATAGAAGTCATTTAAAATAAGCTTTCATTCCATTTAGGACTCCATTCCCAGTGTCCCGTTCCTCTTTCTAGGTCAGGCAGCTGCCAGGTGAGAAGCCACTGCTGACGCAGGTCAGGGTTAGGGGAGTGAGGTGGGGGAACAGTGCCTTTGCCCACAGCCCCTGTTCAGAAAGAGAGGACAGATAGGCCTGGATACTGGGAAAGTCCAAAACCATGAAGCCAGGTAAAGAACAGAACTCTAGCACAAACCCAGAATGAGGATATGGCAGGAACCAGGAAAGCTGAGAACAAGATCTAGAACAGCATGCAACAAGGTAGTAGCCTGAAGGAATTCCAGAGAAAAAATGCTGATAATTAAATGAGCTTCTTAGGAGAATCACAGAGGCCTACATATGTGGT